CTATTAAAAATATATAATCTTGTAAATAAGCACTTAGTTCCTGATCTTTGGGTCCAGCTAAGCTCTTGTTAGTGCAGGATCTTAGAAGGGGACAAAGGTAGGTGTACACAACCATTGCACTCCCTCAGCACCAGAAGCAACTGGGGGTCAGTTCAGCCCCCATTATAAATTAGAACAGGATCAAGGCTGCTCTAATTTATGCCAGTTTGCAACTATCCCCAAGGAGCCAAGACACTGTTCAGGGATAACTAGAATGCAGCACATTGTGACTACTACGCCTCCTGGCCCAACACTTCCCCCAATACCAGAGGGTCTGGTAGAGGGGGTGTAGAGCCATGAAAAAAAGCAGTTGACTGGTTACGGCAGCTTTCTTTAAGGTTGCTTTGTGCCACTGAAATAGCTCAAAGTGGCTTTATCAGAGGGTAGGCTCAGTTCTTTACTTATAACTCTGTAATATGCAGTAGCTTGTAGTCTCAGATCATGCTAGATCAGTCTAAATAACAATGTAAACAGTCACCTTCCTTTCCTTCCTGGTATCATCAGGCAAGAGTTGTGGAACCTGAGATTCTAGTACTCGTATTTCTTGAGGCTTACACGTTCTTCCCACAGAATAGCCTTCCATTGTTACTATGTGTTGGGGCATGCCTGCTTGGCTTGAGGCTAAGCTCTCAACTGAGTTAGGACACCTTCTTTGCTTGATGCTGATATCTTCTTGGCTGAATGCCAAACTCCCAGCTGAACTTGGTCATAGAATTTATAGGAAACCAATTAGATCATCCAGTCCTTCTTCCTGCCAGTACAGGATTGTTCCCTGTTCTTTTAGTGCTTTATCTAGTTTAGTTCTAAAAGTCACATCTGATGTGCTTTCTACCACTTCTGGGAGATTTCTAACAGAATGTTAGGAGCTATTAGAAAAAGGATAGATATCATAATGCCACTTTATAAATCCATGGTACGCCCACAACTTAAATGCTGGGTGCAGTTCTGATTGGCCCCATTTTAAAAAAGATATAACAGAATTGGAAAGGGTACAGAGAAAGGCAAAATAATGATTAAGGATATGGATGAGTTTCTGTATGAGGACTGGGACTGTTCATCTCAGAAAAGATACAACTAAAGGGAGATACGAAATTATAAATGGTGTGGAGAAAATGAATACAGAAGTGTTATTTACCACTTCACATGACACAAGAACCCAGGGTCACCCAATGAAAATAATAGGCACCAGGTTTTAAACAAACATAAGGAAGTACTTCTTCATACAATGCAGTCAACCTGTGGAATTCATTGCCGGGGGATGTCGTGAAGGTCAAAAGTATAACTGGGTTCAAAAAAGAATTAGATAAGTTCATGGAGGATGGGTCCATCAATGACTATTAGCCAAGATGGTCAGGGATGCAACCCTAGGCTCTGGGTGACCCTAAACCTCTAACTGTCAGAAGCTGTAATTTGACAACACGGGATGGATCACTCAATAATTGCCCTGTTCTGTTAATTCCCTTTGAAACGTCTGGCACTGGTCACTTTCGGAAGACAGGATACTGAGGTAGATGGACCATTGATTGACCCAATATAGCCATTCTTATATGGCCCAATGAATCCCACACTCTGGAAGATTTAACTGATACTCAGTCTAAAGGAAGTTAGTTCTAGATACCAGAGTGATTGCCTCTGCTTCTGTGACCATGACCTCCCATAACAACTGTATTCCACTGGAACAATGAAACTGTCAAACAACTGGGATAGGCACATGACTATGAGAGACAGAACCAAGGATGTGGGATTCACTGCCAGAAGCATTAAGAACATCTCTAATCTTGCTGAAGTCAGAGTTAAAAACAAAACCTGCCTTTTAACCCAATGTTTCACAAAATAGTACCCTCATTCTGCCAGACGCATTTAAAAACCAAACCAAAGCACACCACTTAAGCTGGATTCTTGATGACAGGGAAGAGGGAACAATGTCATTTTTTAACTCACAAGAGGTGCTCAGATAGTATCATGGAAAGGGCTCTAAAAACCTGAACCAAATAACAAAATATCCATTTCTTAATTATAATTGACCTCTCCTATTTACACTCCTTTTTTAATTATGCTAAAAAATTCATTTCCTTCTATGGTGTTTAAAACCTTCAATATTTGTACACTCTTATCATATTCCCCCTATAGTCATCATTAAAAAAGCTATACTTATTTCTCTCTCATCTCTTCTCACGTCATTCTTTCCTGTCACTAATTATTTTTCTTTTTTTGTGGGTTCACACCCTATAATTTGTCACCATCTGTTGGTTAATGAGGTACCTACAAATTAATATAATAGTCTAGATACAGTTGCCTCAGAGCTGTACACAGAGAGGGGACAATTACCTTCCTGTTCCTGATGCCTTTGTGTATGCAGCCCACAACTACATCATTCCCCCTTTTTGCTGCCATGTTATCTTGCAAAGTCCAGAACACAGCTGTAATTAAGACCAGAATTTAGCACATTCCATATTTCCTGAACAGCCTTTATTGTGAAACTCATTTGTTGACTTTTAACAATTGGCTATGCAGCACTTAGCCTTTACTTACATTTACGTTCAAAATTCCTATATTTAAAGTTATTTTGTCTCTTTATCTGTTTATTCAGTTCACCTTGAGAAGTTATTCCTACTGTCACTTTTAACAGGTGTTGCATTATTATCCAGCTATATAGATATAGAATTTAAATAACTATATAATTTTAAAATACTCATTACTATTTAAATAACTATATAATTTTAAAAGGCTATTATAATAGCAAAGTTGGCATTAGCAAATACATAGCGTAATAAGTATCATTAATATCTTAAAGTACAATAAAATCATTCTACTATTCAGAACTGGTTAAGTTGGGATAAAGAGACGTTGAACTGTGAGGAGGGCCATGGGAAGGGTGAAGGGAGGTAATAAGCAAATTTTGATTTGTAAGTGCTTGTTTAGAAACATCTGACACATTTATCAAAACTGTTATAGAAAAACAGAAATGGAAAGATTCTACACAGCAACATCCTACTAGCCATCGTGCTAAATAATGTACTCAAGAACCAATCATATAATTTCATATAACTTTTTAGGATGTTTAGTAATTACAGGGTATTTCCAGGATAAAGTCACTCGTGCAATGACCAAGCCCAATATGTTCTAAATAAAAAAAACTTAGTGACAACAAACAAAACTAACCCCAGAGACTGTTTTAAAGCAAGTTTCAAGCATGTGGCCCCAACATCATGAAAAAGAAACAAATGACTAGTGTTCAGGCTTATAAACTGGCATCTCAAAACCTAAGTAAGAAGTTGAGGGGTGTTAGAGCTCTTCTCCTATGATTCTAGAAGCAACTAAGTGTTGTGTTGTCCAGCAACTTTAACAGGGTCAATGTGCCAAAACAAGTACTCTTATTCTTCTCCGATGACCCTGAGATTAAGTTCTGGGATCAAGGAATGTTTAAAGTTGTGTTTTGTTCTTTCAATGCTTAATATTTCCCTTATCACTGCTCAGTATCTCCCCTGTATGCTGTCCTTTCATTGATCTACAGCAGAAATTGGAATTCTGTACCTGTGTTTGGCATAGTTATAGGTCGAGCTTGATTATCCACTTCTGCTTCTGTCAAGCGTAAGACACCATTAAATCAGAATAAGTGGTAAACTAAATTTCTCCTGCTATATGATCCTTATAATTATTGTATAAATCAACAGGCACAAGGACATGGAAGTTAAAAAGAGGCATATTGCAATTTGTAATGCTTAAAACAATGTACTAGGTAAAAATAACACAAGGTATACAGTCTATATTCACCTATTCCAAAAGGGGAAAACACTGTCCTTATATACAGGAAAACTATTTACACCCACCCCAGGGGGACTTTCCCTCTAAAACCCTCTGTCCCAGCTGGAATATATCCTGTGTGAACCTGGTCCAGTATCTAGTGCAGGTTAGCAAAAATGGCCGGTTAGTTGTGCCCTTCTCTTTGTAATTAATACTAAAGCGTGTTTCCGTGAGGAACATTCATCATGGGCTTCCAACCCATCTGCCTCCCTGACCTCACTGCTGACACGGCCGCGGCAGGCGCCGCGCCGCGCGCGCCTCTCGCTCCAGAGCTGTTGCCAACCCCCCGCTCCCTCTCACTGGTCTAGAACACTCGGACTGCCGGGGCGGGGAGGGGCGTGGCCACGGCCTGGTGACGTATCAGCCGCTCGCTCGCTCTCTCCTGTCCACGCCGGCTGACGTCAGTGAGCGCTCAGGGGGCCCGGAAGCGGCGGTTGGCGATGGCGGCTGCGGTGGGGATGGGGCAGCAGTGGGTGCTGGTGGAGATGGTGCAGGCCTTCTATGAGGTGAGACTTCCCCCATCCCCGCTCGAGCCGGGTCCGGCATCCCCCGCCCCCTTCTCCTTCAGCGGGGCCGGCCCTGCTGCATGGGGCGAGCGCCGGGGCGATGAGCTCAACCTGAGGGAGAGGGGCGCTGGGTGACGGCCCCGCCTGGTGACACCAGCTCGCGGGGGGCGAGGTGTTGTGTCGCGCTGATGGCACTAGTGGGGGGCTGCTTTGGGGCGGGGGTACCTGTGGCACTGGCGGGGGGCTGGGGGACCCTGTGGCATTGGTGATTCCAGCAGGAGCCAAGCACCAGGCTGTACTGGCCGCACGAGGAGCGGGGCAGTGAATCGGTCCACCAGGGTATGATAGAGCTGATGATAAGACCACTGGAGCAGGCAGCACTGACTGGTCACTTCTCACAGACCTAAGAGGGGCTCAGAGAAGAACAAGGAGAATGACTTAGTGGTCTGGATACCTCAGGGTGTGAGGAAGGGGGATTGCTGACCTTGCAGAGGAGGGGAGGGGATCACAGTATAAAGAATAACAAATGCAGTAGTGACAGTAGAGCGGGAGTGTCTCCCTGTGCCTTAATCCAAGTACAAGGGAATGTTTGGCCAAAATAAAAAGTGGGAAATTTGCAACTGATAAAAGGACTTAGTCTTTTACATGACCTGTCATTTGACTCTGGAACTTGCTGCCACAGGACATCATTGAGGCCAAGAATAAAAAAAAAAGATTCATAAAGAGATTGAACATTTATATGACTCCTGGGAATCCTTAGTTGTCATAATTTATTATCAAGTTTTGGATGGTATATTAAACCTCATGCATCATGTATGAACCAACTTCCCACTATTAGACACTAACATGAGACCTAATGTGGGGGATAGATTACTTCCTGTCTGCTTATTGTGAGGTTCTTGCACCTTTCTCTGAAGCGTTTGGTACCAACCACTGTCAGAGACAGGACGCTGGACTAGATGGACATTGGGTCTGGTCCTTAATAGCAGTTCCTATATTGACATATGCTATGCATTTTTTGGTCAAAGTTAAAGTATGGTGACATTTGTGTCTCTCAAGGTAAATCTAGTATCCATCTGTGGTGGGGCTTCACATTCACCTTGAGAATTTATGCCATGTGCTAGTCAGCATTATAGGCCACTTCTAACTTAGAGGCAGTTTGTTCCATATTGTGATGATGTTTCTGCTGTTAAACTCTATGCTATATTTTGGTACACACTGTTTTTGCCACGTTTATTTTTTTGAGGCAAAATCTACCATTTTGGTAAGAGAGTCGAGGCAATAAGACAAGAGACTTTAGTTTACACGTTGTTACGATTATTGAAAGGCAAAGATTTATGAATTCAAACTCTGAATTTATTTTCCCTTAAAAGGGACTCTATTGTCATTTTATGCTAATTGGGAAATAGCTAATTATTTCCAGATGGTTAGAAACAGGCATTTCTGTGTTAGAAACAAACTGATGACCTGGTTGCCACTTCATAGGTAAAGGTGTTGCTCTAATCTCTTCTATCCCACACGCAATCTAGGTGGTGACCTACTTCCATGTAAAGGAATCTTGTTTGAGTTACCTAGCAGGTCATGCAATGAAAAGTACTGCTCACAGAAGAAGCAGCAACTCTAACATTAATGGCATTTTTGGTTGGTCTCTCTCTTCCCCCTAGTTGTTGCTACAGCTTGGTCATTTAACATGGTTCTTAAAAGACCAGCAGATTACAAGTGAAAGATATATTGCCAGCGATGTGCACTGTGTACAGTAACTCCTCCCTTAATGTTGTAGTTATGTTCCTGAAAAATGCTACTTTAAGCAAAACGATGTTAAGCGAATCCAATTTCCCCGTAAGAATTAATGTAAATAGGGTGGGTTTAGGTTCCAGGGAAATTTTTTTCATCCGACAAAAGACTATACACACACACACGGTATAAGTTTTAAACAAACAGTTTAATATTGTACATAGCAATAATGATTGTGGAGCTTGGTTGAGGTGGTAAAGTCAGAGGGTGGAATGCCTTACTGCTAAATGATGAACTAGCACTCAGCTGAGCCCTCAAGGCTTAACACGTTGTTAATGTAGCCTCATACTCTACAAGGCAGCATGAATGGAGAGAGGGGAGACAGCATGGTAGAGAGAGAGAGAGAGAGACACTCCGTGTTTGAGAGAGAGACGAGCATTGCCCCTTTAAGTACGCAGACCCTACTCTAAGTACACTGCCTTTTTAAGTAGACCAGCAAGTTGAGACAGCAGCTGCTGCCAGCAAGCTCCCTCAGTCCTGAGCCCCTACTCTGCGGAGATGGGGTAAAGGAGTGGGGGGCAGGAGGGGCCGGGGACACCCTGACATTAGCACCCCTCTTCTTCCCCCCTCCCCCCCCCCAGCAAGCAGGAGGCTCCTGGGAACAGCTCCAAGGCAGAGGGCAGGAGCAGCACACAGCAGTGGGGGGAGGGACAGCTGAACTGCCCGGCAACTGATAGCCTGCTGGGCGTCTGCCACACAGGGAACTTAGGGGAGCTGATGGGGGGCTGCCAGTCCACCCTGGTTCCAAGCCTCCACCAGCTAGCTCCAACAGGCTGCTTTTTCTGCAAGCAGTGGACAAAGCAGGCAGCTGCCAAACAACGTTATAAGGGAGCATTGTGCAACTTTAACCGACCACGTTCTCTAATTGATCAGCAACGAAACAATGTTAACCAGGACGACTTTAAGTGAGGAGTTACTGTAACACGTTTCGTTTGTAAATGGCTGGTTGTAAAGCTCATCCTTTTTAAGTGACATGTCCAGATCATGGGCGTCTGGTATCGTAGGCAAGGGGAGGCTGTGCCTCCCCAAATAGCCTACTGTGGCCCCGCCCCCAGGCCCGCATGCCTCCTGCAGGGACTTGGGACGGCTGGTGCTGGGCCGCGCTGCCTGCCCTGTGCTCCAGGGTTGGCCACCTGTGCACCGGGACTGGGGGCCGCCCGGGGGGCAGAAACCATGCTACCCAGCCGCCTGACCCCCAGCGCTGGGGGCGCAGTGACTGCGTCACCCAGCCTCCCGAGCAGCGGGATTGGGGGCGCGGGGACCACTCTGTCCGGCCACCTGCAGCACCGAGGCTGGGGGCACAGCGACTGCGCTGTCTGGCCGCCTGCAGCACTGAGGCTGGGGGCGCTGTGGCCGCACTGCCCAGGGGCTGTGGGTGCTGAGGCTGCAGCGTGCTGGGGTCTTGCCCCCTGGCCATCCAGTGCTGGGGCCGGGGGGCTGCAGTGGAGGTGCTTTGGGCTCCTGCGGGTGAGGGGAAGGCACACAGGGCGGGGCCTCGGGCACAAGGGACAGGGCCGGGAGTTAGCGTCCCCGGTCAGCTGAGTCACTGGCTGCCCATGGTCCAGATGTTTTAAAAACATCTGAGTTTAGAACCTCCCTCCAGCACCATCTCTGAAGGGGAAAAAAAAAATAGTTTAGGTAAGTTTTAACCTGATGTCATCAGAATTAGACTTGATATGAAGAATTTGCAGAAGACACTGGCAAAAAGGGTTTAAACAAATACATGCACACAAAATATGTTGGGGAGGGGAAAGCTGCAGTATGTATTAAAATCAAAGCTCGCTTCAGAGTCTCCCATTCTTACTTCAGTACAAAGTTGCTATTTTCTTGAATCTACAGTTCTTTCAGTCAGCATTCTGTTTGTAAGTGAGCCAAAATAAGTTAGGTAATTGTTTAGGTAGTACAACCTGCCCCATGGCTAGTGGGTTTTGGATTTCATTTGATCACTTTCAGAGCCAACTGCTAATAGAGAAGTTGAGCAGTGAAATACAGAAGAGTATCTTCAGAATGCTTCTCTTCTCAGTTCCCTGTTTACTAAGACCTTGTCTACACTACAGGGGAAATTCGATCTAAGCTACGCAATTTGAGTTACATGAATAGTGTAACTCAAATTGGCATAGCTTAGATCTACTTACTGCGAGGTCCACACTACGCGATGTCGACTGGAGACGCTCTCCCGTCGACTCCCCCTACTCTTCTCGATCCGGTGGAGTACAGGCGTCGACGGGAGAGCTATCGCTAGACCCGCTAAATCAACTGCCAATGCATTGATCACCTAAGCACACAAAAGACCAGATTTCACGGTCTGTGACACATTTTTCATGGCCGTGAATTTTGTAGGGCCCTAGTTATTATCACTGGTAGAACTGAACAGGAGTGTTGGGGGTTAAGTATGGAGCTGTAAATCGGGAGATCTGGGGTTCATCTCCAACTTTTCTACTAACGTGTGACCTCGGGGAAATTTCTGCCTTAGTTTTCATGTTGGTTAAATGAAAAGTGCTCTTCAAATGCCAACTTCTGTTATCACGTGAAGTGATGTGTTGCATATGTCCTTATTACCACCTTTATTGTGGCTATCGAAATATCTGTACTGATAATTGTTACTACTTTTGTTTCTCAGTGCACCTGTATTCCAATTCCTCTATTTCTGTAGGCCCTACACTAACAAAATACTAAACTGTTTTTGGAAATAGCTTCTCACAGTTATATTCCTATATGGATTGGATAGAAGGGTGTCTGTATCAGGTTCTTGAAAAATAACTGATGTCCACTTTGTATACTGGACCCTTGTTAAAATAGAACATAAGAACAGCCATACTGGGTCAGACCACAGGTCCATCTAGCCCAGTATCCTGTCTTCCAACAGTGGCCAATGCTAGGTGCCCCAGAGGGAATGAACAGAACAGGTAATCATCAAGTGATGCATCCTCTGTCGCCCATTCCCAGCTTCTGGCAAACATAGACTAGGGACACCATCCCAGCCCATCCTGGCTAATAACCATTGATGGACCTATCCTCCATGAATTTATCTAGTTCTTTTTTGAACCCTATTATAGTCTTGGCCTTCACAACATCAGCTAAACCCATGTTCTAAACGAGCTATCAAGCGTTGATATGTTTTAGAATTAGGTTTATGTCTAGTATGAACTTGTTCCTTACATGGGCAGGCTTATTAATTTAATGCAGTTAAAAGTGACCCTGAGCCAGTAAAGTATGCTATTCACTTCCATACAAACTCCCTATCCACAGCTTTGCCAGTGTAATTTAGGCTAACCTGCGATGTACTTGCTAATCCTCTCGTGCACCTTTCTAGAACTGAAACTGCCTAACATATCAACTTTGAGAGCAGCTTATTATGTCTTCCACTAACACATAGGATAAGACCATCCGTGTTCACTTTAACACTCAGTAGGCAGGATCTGCAAAGCCTTGAACTTTCATAAAACACTATATATATATATATATATATATTTTTTTTTTTTAAATAAAGGAGGTATATATGAACAGTTCTAGTTGATGCAAGGCAACTTTGTTTCTTTTAGAAATATAATAATGGAAAGGAAAAAATACCAGCTAATTAAAACTGAATCTTATATGGACTCTTTTTAATTTCTAGGCTCCTGCTTACCATCTTATTTTGGAAGGAATTCTAATACTGTGGATAATCAGACTTCTTTTCTCTAAAACCTATAAACTTCAAGAACGGTCTGACCTCACACCTAAGGTATATTGTAATAACATTCTTCACAATATGCAGATTTTTCCTTATAGCAACAATTTATAGTGCTAATACATTTGTCTGTTGTTCTCACTCGGAATGTGGTGTGATCACCTCACAAATTGAAACCACTGTGATAAGGCGATATTTCTAGTGACTCCAAAACGGAGTAAGAGATCTTTCAATATGAGTTTTGTTTTGGGCAGGAAAAATAATTGATCAGAAATAATATTACACCAATTAGAGGACTTCAGCTACGTTATTCATGTAGCTGAAGTTGTGTAACTTCAATTGATCCCCTCCGCCCCCAGTGTAGACCAGGCCTAGTAGTCAATAAGGGGCTGAGAGGCCTTAGTGGATCTGCTTAGCCTAGAAGTGTTGCCACCAATAGGCTATTGTATTGAGAGTCATGGGTTCCTGAGATTTTTAACCAATATAATTTTATTTTATTATTTTAAATATTCACTTTCTGTCCACCACTATGACACTGCCTTTACCCTTCAGGCATCATCTTCCAGGTCTGCTTATGTGTTAATGGTGAATATGGATATTGCTAGACAATGCTGCACAGCAATAAACTGTATTGAAAGTTTGAGAACAGAGAGATCAGTATTAAAACTACGATATTTAGTTAAAAAAAAATCCATAGCGTATCACCCTTAACATGCTAGGCTAGCAGCATTGACACTAGCTAAATACTTGATGAAACCTTATAAGAATTCTTAAAACCTTGCATACTGCTGAAGAAATCTAATGCATGTCTATAATTACATTCATGAGCACACTAGCTTTTAATCTCAGTAGTAGCCAAGCACACATTCTAACATGATTGTAGCTATTTCTAAATATTAAACAAATATTTAGACTTAATGTTGTTGCACACATTTATGTCAGTTTATTTCCTTTCAAATATAGGGCCATTGGGCATAGTTCCAATAAGAAATACAACATGTACAAGATCAAATGTTTTATCTAAACATTTTCTTAAAACAATTTTAAGAAAATCTCTTCTGAAACATAGGGCCATTTATATTTTGATACAGAAGGTCTTGTCCTCTTCAAATATGAAATGTATTCTATAAACAGTCACAGTTCAAAAACAAAGTCATTCATTGTCTAAATAAAAAGAAAATATTGAAACTACAACAAAATAAACTTATAATTGTGTACACTTCCCTTTCCAATTTCTAATTTTTTTGTCATTTAGACTGAAATTTTTTCTTTAAATATAAGTATGAGTTTTCTGCATCAGAATCTTCATACAAAAATTGAAGTTACTGAAATAATGGATTTTCTTAAATAGTAATCCTGTAATAACTATCCATAAGTAGGTAATGTAGTTTTTAAATATTCCGTTAGCCTTACAGTTTATATTGACATTTAATTACAATAATAATGTGAAAATCCAATATCATAAAGCTTTTTTGTTTTGCATTTGTGAATAGATCATCAGAAGTTCTCGTTTTCTTTGTCTTTTTGCAAGGATGGGATTTTATTATACCTGGAAAATAACTCTTAGGAAATGTTACTCTTCAACAGTGTTAAGGGAGGTGTTACATTTTAGAACTCATGGCCCTAGTGGCTGCTGACGTTTTAAGCATTGTGTAGCTGGGCTAGACAGCGTGGTACTTAAAATGCCAGCAGCCCTCTGGAGCCTTTTCTGCACTAGTGCTAAGAACAATAATAGGATATATTGGCAATATCAATCCTAGTGTAAATGTAGCCTTAGTTAATTTCCCGTATCCTGTGTATGGGGATCGTTCATTGCAAGAGAATTACTTAAATTATAAAACCAAAGAGTGGAGGTTGTCAGTTCTAGTCTCAGTATCTACAAATTTAGTTAGTCTTTTAAAATAAGATAAAAGTAGTTTCAAACTTAACATCCCTTTAATAGCTAATGCTTATATCATAGCTCTACTTAGTGTCATTGTGGTTCAGGGGTTAGAGCGTATAGGACTAGGTGGAACTAAGCAACTCCTGAAGTCTAATGCTGGTTCTGACTCTGATTCACTGTGTATCCTTGTGCAAGTGACATGACCTCTGTTACTCCATCTGAAAAATGGACAGGAACACTTGCCTACCTTGCATGTGTTGTGAGGATTAGTAGTTATGACATGCTATTCTATTGATGTTACCCAATGTGCAGATTGTGCTAATTTGATTAGTAATTGTTGCTTCTATTGTGTCACTTCACTTAGCACTCTAATGCAAGAACTGTTTGTTTAATAGTGCTATAGAATGGTTGAGGACAGGAAGTGAGGAATGCTGTATCTAATATTAAATTAGAGGGTAATTTTGCTAGTTGGTAATCAGGAAGAAATTGCCTTAGTTAAAATTTTGACCAGGATGCTGAGTCAACACCTTTTCTTTTACAAAGCATGCCATGAGATTTTTAATGAACAGATCTGGCCAGGATCTCTCATTTCAAGGTCACCCCAAGTAGTGCAGAGCCCCTCTGTATAGTATTTGGTCGTAATACACCCACCTCTACCCCGATATAACGCGACCTGATATAACACGAATTCAGATATAACGCAGTAAAGCAGCGCTCGGGGGGGGGGGCTGCGCGCTCTGGCGGATCAAAGCAAGTTCGATATAACGTGGTTTCCCCTATAACGCGGTAAGATTTTTTGGCTCCCAAGGACAGCATTATATTGGGGTAGAGGTGTAGTTCAGCATTGACTTGGAAGGGTGCCACATGTTGATATAGTTCTTTTGGCTAGAACTATACCCATCTGCTTATCATACCATAATCTGCTATAATGGAAATCATATTTGAAAGATACTAAATGTTGGGTATTTTGACTTCTGATCCTTTCAGGAAAAGGAAGAATTGATTGAAGAGTGGCAACCAGAACCTCTTGTTCCTCCTGTATCAAAAGATCATCCAGCTCTCAACTACAGTGTTGTTTCAGGGTAAATTTAGCACAAAATAGTCTTGTGTTCAACTTCAATATAAATCTCTTTTCAAATGTCTCTGTTTTTAAACATATGAGGATTTTAATGTTCCTGGAATATCTTTGTGAGTGAGTTGCATGTTAGGATTACAGAACTGGGTTTGTCACTGATGCTAAAGCCTCCTATCATAATTGCATCCGAAGAAGTGGGCTGTAGGCCATGAAAGCTTATGCTTAAATACATTTGTTAGTCTCTAAGGTGCCACAAGTACTCCTGTTCTTTTTGCAGATACAGACTAACATGGCTGTTACTCTGAAACCTCCTATCAAAGTTCATTATATCTTTGTTGAAACAGAATTAACTTCTGAGGAGATTCTCTATACTATTGTATCTAATTCTCTTTTTAATCACTGATGGTAAAGTATTAGGTAATTGGGCTTCATCTTGGTATCTTATTCAGGATCCTTTTCTGTTTGACGACTAATAACCAAAATGAAGCAAATTTTGTAAAGGTATAGGCCTAAATCTCCAAAAGTGACTAGTAATTTTTGGGTTTCCAACTGGAGGGACCTGATTTTTTTTTTTTTTTTTTTTTTTTTTAAGAGGATTGGCACTTTCTTAAAATTAGACTACTTTAAGGTATCTCAAGCTGGGCTCTCAAAAGTGGAGTCATTTGAAATCTTGGCTATAACATCTTAGGGCTTGTCTATAAATTTGAAATGGGACTACACCAATGTGCACTAGCCAATTAGTGTGACACACCCTGGTGCGGACTAATGCACCGTGTAGACAGAAAAGCCCTCATAAGAGTGATACTGATTCACGATATTTCCCATATGTGTTGCAACACAGATGCAGTTCAAACATAAGTGCACTTCTACAGTGTACGTCATAGTACTGCAGGAATGGTACATTTTTTGTTTTAACTTTTATGTTGGTAGCATTTAAAAATAAAGGTACAGTGAAACCCTGCTATAACGCGATGATTGGGCTCCAAAAAATTCGATTGCGCTAAATGCGGGGTCGTGGTATAGTGAGGTTTACCATTTCAAGCCGGTCAGTTTTAAGCCGGTCAATTTCTCTTGGGCAGAAAAGGACTTGCCTTTGCGAACTGCCCATAACAGTAACTGAAAGGATGCAGCTCCAGCAGCGGGGGCTCTCAGCCATGCAGCGAGAGAGGGAAACACTTGGGGAGAGCAGGGGAGACGTGCAAGGGGCAGAGGAAGAGCAAGGAGCAGCTGGGGAGGAGAATGGCTCTTCTCGCCAAAAGGAGAAGCGGAGGTAGGGGGGAAGAGGCAGTGGGGAAAGCACAGTCCATTTTTTTTTTTTTT